AACTTTGGTTCATGACCAAATACCTGCAAAACAGACATTCCCATTGACCTCAACTGTACTTTTGTGTGTGCTAATTAGCTAATCTTTGAAAGCTAACACTCTAAACTAAGAAGGTAAAAATGGTACCTTATTTTACCTGCTTAACATCACCATACTAGTCATTCTAAGATTGTAAGCATGCTGACATTAGCATTTAACTCAAAGCACCGCTGAGTGTCTTTTGTTAAGAATTTATTGCAGCAAATGGGATCCCTGAAAGCAAAAAACTCTGCAGACTGTACAGACAGCACTTGAAAGGATGGGAAGGAAAGAGAACCTATACAATTAAAAAAAGCAAAAAAGTACTGCTATTATTGTCATTTAATGTGATTTTGATGTCACACAGAGGTTGAGTAAACAGCACTTTGGTTATGAAGAGGCCACTGAAAAAGACTGAGCAAACTAAAACAAAGCACCAAGCCTCTCATGGCCAATTAGAGTGGGTCAATCTGACCACAAATTGCTCATTGGTGATCTTAGAGGAAGATCAAAGGGCACTAAGCATAAGGGAGGTACACTGTGTATCAGCAAGTCAAAGGAATGGAATGGTTTGGCTCTAAGCCCAATGAGAGCCACTTACCCCACATCACTCAAAAGGGTGAAGTGTGTTGCTCTGCCAAACCCGGAGCTGCTGTCAGGTCTATAGGCAGGCCTGCTTGTTTTTACAGATGACCTCTAGATAGATTGCAACATTGTTCTCGCTCTCTCATTTTCCTTTTGGGTTGTTTTGGAGGAAGTTAGTAACCGTGGTGAACAGGGATGAGGAGTTTGCTTTGATACTGAGTTGCAGGAATGCAAAGAAAGAGTGAAAGGAAGAAGAATCAAAACAGCGCATCATCTTCAAGTCATCTGACTGCCGACTGAGCGTATTGCAAAAACCGTGGGGGTCCTCCCTCGGGGATCCACCACTGGTCAATACATCGGCATTGTGTCATGATGGATTCTTGTTTTGGTGCTCATATCAAGCTGGCCTTTTAGCTATGAGTCAGTGATCCAGAAGACGATATTAGATAATCTGATTTGTGTCTCAATCTCCAGTCCTGCTTTTGTGTCAGCAAAGGTTCTTACAACATGGCCTATTGAAATGCTTGTTATGTGGACAACAAAAGACATTTTGGCCAAGGGCAGTATCCAAGCTGCAATCTTTTGTTGAAGGTAAAATGTGTGACAAAACATATACATAATGTAGTGCTGCAAAGATGTCCTTGCCTACAAATCTTGTTCTCGTAAGAAAACATGTTGTTTTGGTACAGACAACAAATTTCACATTATCATGATTTTAGTATTTTTTTTTTCTGAAAATTTAAATTGTGATAAAAAAATTATCATTCCTAATCATCAATATCTGCACAATTATGTTTTTTACCATGTCCTGCAGCCCTGATGAAAACATACCTATGATTATTATCCTCCTATGTCCCACACCGGACCTTTAAGGCCATGATTCTGGTTATTGTTAATAAAAAATATTCTGTCTGAAGTCACTGTTGACTTTTTCTGTATTCGTGGCAGTACCTAACCTAACATAAGCAAAAAAAGTTGAATAATGCTGAAGTCACTACGACTGGACATGTACTTCAGTATAGCATTTTCGCCACTTGCAAGCACGTTAATTAACCAAACATTTTCATCTTCTACAAAAAAGTAATTCGCTGGCAAATATTTCCCTCACACGCGACTTTTTACTGTTCAATTAGTTTAAAAAATGCAATTTCCAGGAACAGGGGCTGGCAGATCAGACCGAATGGTGACTAGGAGGTCGTCTATCTGGACTCTTGGCAAGGAAGCCAAGAAGCATAATTCCCAAAAAGCGTCCAAAACTATGTCTTTATTACGTGAAATTAACATGCGGTGCTCTCTTTTGTCTCCTGCAACTCGAGACTGGAAATAACAAACGTCTAACCAGTTAGCCCCGCTGTTCGCATTTTCTTTACCAGCCATCTCTGGATAACACAAAATCTTCATGTAAGCCCTGGACCATTGTAAATGTGCTGACATGTACCCAGGACAGCGCTGACCGAGACTGTCTCCTAGCTGCTCCCACCCCCCCCCCCCCCACCAACCAAACCCAACCCCCTCAACTCTTGTGTGGGTGTGTGGGGTGCTTTGGGAGTGGGGGCGCAACGCCTCCCTCTCCCAGCATCAGACCAACACAGCTCAGCCCTAGCCGTGTCCAAAACACAGCGGGACTCCCCCTGCCTCCTCTCTCCGCCACCCTTCCGACTCCTATCCTCTCCTCCTCCTTCCCAGCTCTCCTCCTCCTCCTCGCTCCCCAGACTCCGGCAGGAAGCTTTGATACAGGGGTGTTGAGCAGCAAGGGGAACATTTCCATTTTTATCTGCTTCGAAAGACTCCGAGACCCTCCTCCCTCTCCCCTCATCCCGAACTGCTTCTCATCAGCATAAAAAGACTCTGCCATTTTCCTCCTTCATTGTGTGTGCTTCAGATGCATTGTAATTGATATAGACATGATCTGGGAGGGGAAAGAGCACAAATCTGTAAGACCGATTCACGATGACTGTTTTTCCTTCTTTTGTTGCTTTTGAGGTGCAAGTTCAGCAAAAACGACTCGCTGTGTCTTCCGCACTGGCTGTCACAAAATGCGAGCGTCTGTCCTGTGCAATAAATGTCATGCGACATATAGTCAAAGTCCCCACTACCGAGCTACTGTCAGCTCTTGAACCTTTCAACGCGAAAAATTCAAAGTGAGGCAGTTGCTCAAAATAAATGTTTTGAAAACGGGGGAGCGTTCAAGGCTGCCTTGTCACCTGATCGCTGCTTTTAAGACTGTTTTGCACCCTGCCCTGTAGACAATAATAGGTTTGCCAGTAAACTTTTTAGTGTTTGCTCATCTCCTCTGTTGTTGAGACATCACTTCCATAGCTCCAAGCTCTGGCTGTTTCCTCACACAAAAAAAAGGTCATAAATCAAATAGTCTTGAGTGTTATCATATGAAAATCTTGAGCAATTTACAGGTGTTGTCTCCAGTACCTCTTTACATGCAGACCCTGCCACGGTCATTGTAAATCTGGGAAGAAATAGGGTGTCATCTGTGATGTCTGAGGAGAAATATTCGCCCGAAACCACAAAACTACTCCGAGGCCTTGAAATGATAAACCCAGAGACACGTGGAATTTATTAAACAGTCAGGTTGATAATTGTCTGCGTCTACTGCTCTGTGCGTCTTTACAGATGATGGATTATGCTGAGTGCTACATTTCAGGAGGGTGACGCGGGGAAGGAAAGAAAATACTCCTGAGTGTGCAGGGTAACACGGCATCTTGTGATGCCAGATTTATGGCGGAAACTGACGGTATGTTACGCATCTTGGTTAAAGATTAAACACTCAACAGGTTCAGATATAGAAAAATAGAGTGACTCTTGGAATACAGCGGTAAGTAAAAGTGAGTGACAGCTTATTTTTTTAAAGCAAAGCCTTGTTGGCATTGTTCCCAGGAAAGTACCTGGTACGATGCGAACAATTAAACAATCAAAAATGACTCAGAAATTACAAAATCACAATTACAATATGAGTTATGCGTGCCCTGATGCGAATCAGGACAAACTGTATTATTTCTTCCACATCCTATCAGGCTCAGACCAATGAAATTTAAACATCATTTAGACCAACCATTTATGAAAGTGTGTGTATTGGCATCACAATATATTTTTTATACTGTGTGTTTCTTCTATGCAAACCATGAATAAAACAAGAATCCCAAGCAAGGAAAGAGAAGCATTGTTTCAGGTTAAAATTTCCATCTGTAGTCCCTTGGCAGGTAAACATTATAAAATACAGTAAATAAATACAACCTGTATTAGGTCACAGCAAACATATGCAAATGCATGGAACAACCAGAAATGATAACCATAGCCAAAAATACCATTGACACTAAAGTCATATACTCAGTATCTTGGAATTTGGACTCCTTTTTAGCAACCTGGAACAGTTTAAGTTCAACAATTTAAAAATATTACACATTTAATTGGCTGATTTCAACATTTTTTTTGTCATATATATACACAAGAAAGTGACATTGTGTAAAAGAAAGTTCCTGCCCACTGTCTGGTTTATTAGAAATGCAAAATGTTCTGCCTCAGGTGTCTATTAAAGGTTCGGTCATGACCAGAACTAATACCCTTGTTTTTAACAGTTTAACAGTGTGTGAAATCAACCATTTGTCTCTAACTCAATATATTTCAATTTTAAAAGATCCATTCTCAGTGTATTTTAAGTTTCCACATTACATCATTGCAAGTTGAATACTGATGCAGGAGTGACTGACAGATGGAGTCATGATGTCACAAATCATGCTCGTAGGCCCCGCCCCTTTAAAAGAAAATAAGCTGTTCAATGAGCACAGAGAAACTTTCCATCCTTCTGCAGATGAATGTGAAAACATCCTTCTGGTGTCAAACTCTGCACATACATCATTCTGCACACCGTAGATCTAACATCCAGCTGTAGGAACAAGACAACAGAATGAATAAATAAGAACAGGTTCCACTCTCCGACAGAGCTGTGTCCTGACTGTGTAAAGCTGGTTTGAAACAGCTTTTAGACCTTAATTCAAAAACAGCTGAATAAATAAGAATTCACATAATCGGTGCTTAGGGATTTTTTTTTTATTTTGTTGTCTGATCAGACTTGTTTGGGTTTTTTTTTTGTTTGTTTGTTTCTGTTTAGGGTGTTTATATTAAAGCAGCCATATAATAAGACAAGAGATAACACAAAACAGACACCACACTGTAAAATGATTACAGGAATGTAACAGTGACCGAAATAACAGCCCATCCAAAAGGCGATCGGTGATTGGCACCGGTTTTCCTTCCACTGCCGCTCTTGCAGCACTTGATAAAAACTTGCTAAAGCCCCCGGTGCATCCCACCCTTTACCCCACCCTAAACCCCTCCCTCACTCCCTCCCGCGCGGATGAGGAGAGAGAAGTTTGCCTGCGGCGCAGTCCACTGAACATTTACTGTATTTCATTTGGGGAACAGCAACAAGCCTCCGGAGAAGCTTTCCAGGGAATGCTGAGGAATATCTGACCGCACAGAAAACACCACCCACAGCTGAGTTTCCCCTTCTTTTTTAAAAAAAAAACAAAAAACAAAACAAAACAAACAAAACAACAAATCTTTACTTCTCATTGATGTCGCCAAAGTAGTGGGAAGCTCGGGTCAGTAGGAGAGCGGCCGCACGCGGACTGTTCGCCTGTCGGTGGCTGCTTTTTTTAAAATCCCGAGTCCTGGAGGAGGAGAAGAAGAAGGAGGGAGCGAAGCAGAAGCGAAAGACGACCAAAGACGAAGAGGAAAAAGAAGAAGAAGACAGTCCAAGTGAACGAGAGAAAAGAGTCAGGCTCAGAATGAATAACAACAAAATCGAGAAAGACAACGAGCCGAGTGAATTCACCAACCACGAAGAGGAGGTAGGTGTCCGCGAGCGAGCTGCCTACCTGCTCTCACAGCTCTAATGTCAATTTGAATATTTAGTTCAAATGGCTCGTCTTCAATGAGAGATACATGCTAAAAAAGAAACACACGCTGCGTGTTTTTAAGCACGCATTGGCTACTTTGTCCGCTACAGTATCACCGCAGTATCCTTATGATGTTCTTATATGCTGTTAAACGTGTAACAGACTCAGTGTAATGACTCAGTCTTGTAGCGTTATCTGATTTTTTTTTTTTACCTTGTAAAAGTTGCTAGCTGCTGTTACCGGACCTAGCTACTGCATCACATTTCTTATCCGGTTTTTCCAAAGCACTATCTCTTTCTTTCGCGAATTTGTGCACCTGTCATCTGTTGTTTGAGACATAATATATATATATATATATATATAACCTCTCTCCCTCTTCTTCTAATGTGTCCACCTCCTAAGTGTTTTTATTTTTATCTTTTTAAAGCAGTCCAACAAACCCATACTCACCGAGGAACAAGTGAAGAACCAGGCAGGACTTAATAACGGATGAATCCCCAAAAAGTAGTTCCCGGGTAACTGTGAAGTCAGGACTGTATTGTAGATAATGACAAAAAAAAAGGCTAAAGTGTTTGTTAGGTCTACCTTACTGTACAGCCAGATTTCACACAACACTGATAAGCAGCGGCATAAAGGGAATTCTGAGCCAGGAGGCGAATTAGTTTTCAAACAACTGACTGCTGCAACATGTAGGCAATAAGTGTTTGTAACCCAGACCCACTGCATTACAGTTGAGGGAGAGTAGCCTCTCTACTAATATGACTTAATTACAGCTTAACACACCAGACTGATGTTGTTTGTCTTAAAAACAAAAAGGAGGGGGGGAAAAGTGATCTGTTTAGTTTCTAGTGAATGCGTTTTTCTCTCTAAACATGCTGGATAACAGCCCAGTTTCTTCCTCTTCTCCTCTGTGAACATTGCACAATCTGGATCCACAGCGTCTCCGTCTCGGTAAATAAGTTTGTAGAGGTGATCTTTACGTGGGGTGGCTTTTTTTTTGGCACGGAAGCGCCTCTGCTCCAACGACAGGGCTTGTTATTTCAGAGCTGCACGCATTCGGGGCCAAGTGATGTAAGAAAAAGGTATATCAGATTATATCAGATATTTCTCCTGGAGCAATTTGATTAAGGCTCTGTGTTCTGCTCGTCACTTTTGTAACTGAATAGCCAAACATACCCAGCCCGATTTATCACCATATTTGGCCCACACAGATGAGGTAAAGACTGAAGAATGAACTTCTTGGAAACCTGATGGGGAGAGTGTGAAGCTTCATTCACCTTGTGACCTTATGTGCTCACAATACAGCCTGCGGCGCCAGTGCATGACTCGAGGGCAGCAACTAATGATTATTGTTGTTAAAAATACTGTATATTAACAACAGTACAAAGGGCAACTATATTCAATTAAAATCATATAAAAATGCAGCAAATGCTTAATAAATGACTTGTTAATAGTTGAAAATGTTCTGTTGATCAGTTCATCATTCAAATTGTTTAAGCACTGCACAGCTCAACATCTTTGCTTTAGCTGGAAGAGGGTTTGGTTGCTCATCACTGTGACCAAAGAGGACAAAAAAAGAAAAGCAAATGGATTCATTTCCATTAATCACCTTAATACACGACTCATAATATCATCTGACAGCTTTGTTTACAGCTGAAACAATTATTGCAACAGTTTTGATCATCATTTAATACATCAAGCAGAAACGCCAAACATTTGATGATTCCACTTTCTTTTTTGGCTTATGAATAGGTTTTTGGACAAAAAAGCAAATGAAGGCGAGGTGATCTGCGGCTCTGAGAAACTGTGATTCATATTTTCATATTTCCAACAACTAACCGACTAACGCTGAAAATAATTGCCGGATTAGTCCGCAATAATCGGGGAATGATCATTAGTTGCAGCTCTACTTGCGCTTCTTGACTCACTCATCCACTAAATCTCTGGAACTAGCATCCGGACTGAAATAAGTTTTGGAAATTCTGTGACGGTGCCGCCACGCCAGGGGGACGGGGCGAGGAGCCTGCTGTCTCGCGATCTTGTTGTAGAAAGGGGGGACGGAGAAGAGTTAGGGATCGGCCGGAAGAAATCTTTAATTTGGGTTGTGCGAATGTTTGGAAGGCTCATGCCGGACTTAAATTTACTCAAGGGAATTAACGTAGGGTTGGAC